AAATGTTGCGAATTGCAATGAATTGCTGAGTCGGGGATTATACCGAGCGAATAGCTGCAAACTTTATATTGTAAAATAGTGTGCATTGTAAAAGTGTGTGGATTTATAGGTCCAGTCCAGTGCTCGAAATAATGTTCTGATCGAAAATTGTTGATATTGGTATTCCTCCGATCGGAGGTCCCTCAGGGGCTCGCTTGCGGGTGGGGCCCGCAAGTGAGTACGGGGGGTAGCGTCCCCGAGATGCCCGAGGCGCTTATAGGTTGTTAGTTTTCTTAATTTAAGTTTGTTAAATTTCATTTTCTCCATTCTCTCAAAAAATGCACTCGAGTGCGGGTTAGCTTGGCACCCGTGTGCTGGTTTGCGTGGCACTCGTGTGCTGGTTTGCGTGGCACTCGTGTGCGGGTTAGCTTGGCACTCGTGTGCTGGTTAGCTTGGTACTCGTGTGCTGGTCTTAGGTTTTCTATTTCTACTTAATTCAATGGTTTCAGGTTCGTTACAGATATTATCATTCGTCGTGGGATGCGTCTTAAGTTCCATATTTTCGCCATTAATTTTCCAAAATGTCCACAATTTCGTTTCCTCCATTTTCCCAAAAATTGCACTCGTGTGCGGGCTAGCTTGGTACTCCTGTGATGGTCTTAGGTTTTCTATTTATTCCTGGTACCCTTTTTGTATTCTGTCTAACTATTCTCAATCATTTTCGGTACATTACAGAGATTATCATCCGCCGTGGGATGCGTCTTAGTTAGTAAGTGCGTGCGTCTTAGTTTAAGAACCTTAACCTCTTGCCGCGTTTTAACGGGTCTAGCTTATAATAAAGATTTCTCTTAAGAATGACTATTATTTTGTTTTTTCAACTTCGTCTAAATTTCTCTTCATCTCACCACAATATTTAATTGTTCACGAATAGTAGTCTCGGGATAAATTCAAATTCTCTTCTCCTTTCGAGAAATTATTTCAATTGAGAAACTTCCAGTTATTATAAATGTAAAGGAAATGGTACGGCAAGGGGTTAAGTTCTCTCAGGGGCCCCCGACCCATGGGAGCGCTCGTGGGGGGCACGGGGGGTAGCGTCCCCGAGATACCCGAGTCGCTAATTTCGCATATATCGAGTACTATTGCCTTAGCTTCACTTTTTCGCGTCTCGTAGTTGACTCCGCCACAGCAGAGAGCTGTGGTGGCCTTGCTTGCGCAAACTCTTGGGTAAGTCCGGACACATCTCGATGTTCGACGAGTGACCATGCGGCGTGGTGATTCGAACGCGGACCTTCCTTCTGGGGAGGCTCTCGCTTCGCACATTCGCAATGTAAGCCGTCCTTAGCTCTCTCTCTTGGGGGCGGGGCGCAGGGCGAGAAATCCGACTCATTGTGGGAAGATCCAACTTTGGATCATCATTCCTCATGTGATCGCGCCGGTCATCGAGATCTGCGAGGCACCAGACTTGTGCGAGCATTGTACGCGTCGCGTCACCCTCGAGTCAGTGCCTTCTGCACTGATTCGCAATTGTTTCTCACTTTAAAAGAATCATAGCCTTCTGCTCTGATTCGTTTTGATCCCCATGGGTCAGAGACTTCTTCTTTGATCCACTTTTGTCCGCGATAGTACTTGACATATACTATCGAGTGAGTGTGCATAAGTGTGTGATAGCTAGCTAGCAAGCGTGTGAGTGTTTTAGTTTCATAAGTCGTCGTTGTAAGAAAGGGAGTCATAGCGAATTCCGGCTTCGTTCTGACTCCCTTTCGGGTCTCAAAAGCAGCAACCTCCTCGCGGTGAGACCCGGGCAATCGGTATCATCATCGACCTAGAAAATGTTGCCAATGGCAATGATTTTTCAATCGGGGATTATACCGAGCAAATAGCTGCAAACTTTATACTGTAAAATGATGTGTATTGTAAAAGTGTGGTCCCTCAGGGGCTCGCTTGCAGGAGGGGTCTGCAAGCGAGTACGGGGGGTAGCGTCCCCGAGGTACCCGAGTCGCTGATTTCGCATATGTCCAGTAGTATTGCCTTAGCTTTACTTTTTCGCATCTCGTTATTGATTCCGCCACTGCAGATAGCTGTGGTGGCCTTGCTTGCGCATACTCTTGGGTAAGTCCGGACACATCTCGATGTTCGACGAGTGACCATGCGGCGTGGTGATTCGAACGCGGACCCTCCTTCTGGGGAGGCTCTCGCTTGGCACATTCGCTATATAAGCCGTCCTTAGCTCTCTCTTGGGGGCGGGGCGCAGGGCGAGAAATCCGACCCATTGTGGGATGATCCAACTTTGGATCATCATTCCTCATGTGATCGCGCCGGTCATCGTGATGTGCGAGGCTCCAGACTTGTGCGAGCATTGTACGCGTCGCGTCACCCTCGAGTCAGTGCCTTCTGCCCTGACTCGCACTTGTTTCTCACTTTGAAAGAATCACTGCCATCTGCACTGATTCATTTTGGTCCCCGTGGATCGGAGACTTCTTCTTTGATCCACTTGGTCCGCAATAGTACTTGACATATGCGAACGTGTGAGCGAGTGTGGGCGTGTGCTAGCTAGCAGGCGAGCGTGTGTGTTAGTTTATAAGTCGTCGTTGTAAGAAAGGGGGCCATAGCGAATTCCGACTTCGCTCTGACTCCCTTTCGGGTCTCTAAAGCAGCAACCTCCTCGCGGTGAGATCCGGGCAATCGGTATCATTATCGACCTAGAAAATGTTGCCAATGGCAATGATTTTTCAATCGGGGATTATACCGAGCAAATAGCTGCAAACTTTATACTGTAAAATGATGTGTATTGTAAAAGTGTGGTCCCTCAGGGGCTCGCTTGCAGGAGGGGTCTGCAAGCGAGTACGGGGGGTAGCGTCCCCGAGGTCCCGAGTCGCTAATTTCGCATATGTCCAGTAGTATTGCCTTAGCATTACTTTTTCGCGTCTCGTTTTTGACTCCGCCACAGCAGAAAGCTGTGGTGGCCTTGCTTGCGCAAACTCTTGGGTAAGTCCGGACACGTCTCGTTGTTCGACGAGTGACCATGCGGCATGGTGATTCGAACGCGGACCCTCCTGCTGGGGAGGCTCTCGCTTCGCGTATTCGCAATGTAAGACGTCCTTAGCTCTCTTTTGGGGGCGGGGCGCAGGGCGATCCGACTCAATGTAGGATGATCCAACTTCGGATCATTATTCCTCATGTGAAAACGGCGAGCATCGAGATCTGCGAGGCTCCTGATTTGTGCGAGCATTGTACGCGTCGCGTCACCCTCGA